TGTCCCCATAATTAAAAAAGTTAAGTAAAGAACAAATCCTTACCATCTATTCTCTTAAAGAGTTCAGACTTGCTTCTTATTTCCATTCACATTCTTCTGTCATTCATTGTCCTCTTATCATTAAGGCCGTCTTTCAATCTTGCAGGTAAATATCGTATTGGAGATTCTTTGTGATATTGATTCTTAAATTAATTTTTGCCAGGAAAAATTGAATATTAGAAAATGAAACGTCAAAAAGAGCTTGTTAGATGGTCTAGCTATGTGACAATAAATTTATATCAGTTGGATTTGTATTATTCAGTAGTTGGTGACTTCTTATGTGGTACTTTGTTTAGTTTTTAAATTATTAAAGAGTTTAGACTAACTTGTCTCATTCATTTACATTCACCTGATCTCACTTGTTCTTTCTTGTATTTACGTTCAATCTTGGATGATGCGTATGTACTAGCAGCAGTTTCAATCATTTCTTCAACCTGCCTCTACTGTTCAGGCTTCTCATCAGACATCTTTAAGTTCATCTATCTGTCGAACAGGTAAATATTCACTTGAAGATTCTTTGCTATATTGTTTTTTGAAATAGGAAAAATTAATTTGACAGTCCTTGTAGTTTTGTTAAATTTTGAATAAGATCCTTCTAGTTATTTCTCTTTTTGTCGAATTCTTATTGTTTACGTTGTCAATAATGCCAATCATTACGTTTAAAAAGCCGTTAGTTTAAGTTGACACTGTCCTCCTCAATCAGCCGCAACACTTGCTCCCATGGCTTCTCTCTCTCCTTTCTCACTGTTCATGTTCTCTCTCCCCATCATCATCGTCTTTGTCTCCTCTTCCAAAACTTCGTGCTGTGTTTAACGGTTGTCCTCTGCTTCATTGTTATTGTTAAGGATGCTGCCTGTTCTCTGATCTTAAGAATGTGTCCTGGCACATCCAAGTTTGATGTTTCATAACCTTCCTTCCCTTGTTCCCCAGTTAAAAATCTGGATATATGTGTGTGTGTGTTCTCACAAAGTTCTTTTCCTTTCCTCCCTAGTTTAAACACTGAACAGTATAAACTCATAGGAATTGATGTAACCATTCAGAATGCTGTTTCTTAACTTTCATATTTTGACAAAGAATTATGTCTAATCATTTTGATCTTATAGATTAATTTTCAGTTTCAACAGATTCGATGGTAAATTTCATAATATTATTTCTTCATCTTACATCTCCTTAAGGGTTCGTCTGATATGAGGGAAATGGAAGAAAAGGGAGGGGAGAAAAAATTTTATATAGATATATAAAATATATACTTCTTTTTGCATGGAATATTAGAAATACGTGTTTTACAAAATTATACTATATACAGCTTGAGTTAACTTGAGATATTTATTAGTTTTTTAATATGTCTTTGATCATTATTTAAATTCCAAATTTAAATTATTAAACGATGAATAATTATGTTATGAAGTTTTACACACCTCTTTAGTCAGGGAATATATGACTTGAAAATTTAAGTTCTTGAGTAAATTTTTGAGTATTTTTTTCTTAAGTAAATATTTAGAAATTCTTTTATAATAATATCTAACATAGACACCCACACATATATGTTTTACATTTTGAAATGGTACCCTGCCTAATGAAAAGATTTAAAATAACTAGTTTTTCAGTTTTTCTTAAAAACATATAGAAATGATAATTATAAAGATTAAATAAATTGTTCCCTCAGTCTCCCCATTTAATTTTAGGGTCTCTATTTTTTGGCAAAAAAGAAAAAAGGTAGGAACACTCTTGCGGTAAATGCTCGCAATGTATTTATTTAAATTAAATACTCCAAACTCTCCGTGTGCATGCGTGTGTGTCATTTTGTGTCCGCCTTCCCTTGTGTGTCATTTTATTCCCTTTGGTATATTAAAATTGAAATAACAATTACTTTGGCACCCAAAGAAAGAAGAGAATACTTATTTTCTTTATCTTCAAGGAAAGAACAGCACGAAAGAAACCTAAAGCAGTGTGCATCAAAACCGATTTAAGTCATCATTAAGGAATGAACATATGGCTTACTTCGACTTTAGAATGGGTGTCCCTATAATTAAAGACGTCAAGTAAAGAACAAATACTCCATCTATTCTCCTTTAAAGAGTTTAGACTTCCTTCTTATCTTTTTTCACATTCTTATGTCATTCATTGCCTTCTTTCATGAACTCATCAAGGCGTCTTGCAGGTAAATATTGTCTTTGAAGAACCGTTAATTCTTTAATTAATTTTTCCCAAGAAAAAATTGTGAATATTAGAAAATTAAACATAAAAAACAATCTGTTAGATGTTCTCACTTTGTGATTGTAAATTCATATTAATTGGATTTGTTTGTGTTCAATCTGTGACGGTGACAGTATAATCATACAGAACGCTGTTTTTTAATTGCAATATCAAATCTGTTAGGCGCTTTTGTCAAATTATAATGAATTTATATTAACTGAATATTTATTCTTGAAAGAATTTATTTTTTCTGCATTTCATAAAAAGTTTGGCCAGTGAACTTTATTTTTTCCTCCTTTTGGTTCCTCAATAATTGCAATAATGTCAGGCCAAAAAAAATAATTGCAATAATGAATTTTAAGACTTAAATTTTTTTTAAAAAAAATTTAATAGATCATGTATTTGTACCAATTGCATGAATTGTTATTTGTTACTTTTGTGCAACTGGACATCTCTTAATTTGAATTAAGAGTTACTCGGTAGGTCATTTCTGTATTATTCGTGTAACTTTATTATAATATTTGAGGTAAGTACCAAATATCATAATAACCCATTTAGTCACTTATTTTATTTATATTTTATTTTTCTTATTATTTGCCATGAATATAGTAAGGGAATAATATCTCAATCAACAAATAAATTGATATTTTGATAAAGGTAAGGATTAAAAAACCGGACCAATCATTAAAATAATTGAAGCAATGGGTTTTTTTTTTTGGACTCAGAGGCAATGGGTTAGATCAGAGTCCAACTGGAATCAGACCGGTCATATCAAAATAATATAATTTAATTGACAATAACAAAATATAACAATATTTATAAATAATAATCACTCAATAAAATATAAGAAACTATAAAAATATTTTAAATGTTTGATTTTTTTTCCCAACAGCTTAATTTTTTAATTGTAGCAATCAAAATTATTAAAATACATATCTACTTTAAATGTTTGATATTTTTAGGTGTTTGAGACAAAAATCTGCACTTCATTAAAATACATATCTTTTTTCTTTTCTTTTTTCTACTCTTTTTTCTCTCTCCCACGTGACTGCTCCCCGTCTTCCTTTCCATGACACGCATCATGAGCAGCTTTCCTCTTTCTTCCTTGAACAACGAACAAGCAGCAAGCACAGTAAAATAGCAAGCCTGGAACCCCCTTCACAGTTCTTCATTTCTCTTTCTCAGCTAAATTGCTTTTGCCTTCCTCATTTCTCTCTCACTTGTCCATACTTCCTCCATCCCATTATCTCTATCATCTTCGTTCTTACCTTCTAATCTTCTAGTTTCTCCTCTCTCTCTCTCTCTCATAGTTTCTCTCTTACAGCTTCAACAACAAATAAGTCCCCCTGGTGAAGCCTTGAATGTTGAATCATCTTTTTATCTTTCTTCCATGCGTTTTTAGTTTCCACGCTAAAATGCATCTTCATTTGATTTTCTAGCATGTTCAGGAATTCTCTCACAGTAAGGTTTGTTTTCTCTCTCTATTTTTCCTCTTCCTCTGCCTTCTTTTCTCGGTAAATCTTCTCCTTTACCACAGTTTATGCATTTTTAAGACGCAAAAAGTTTAAACCGGATAAACACCCATCCCACCTGGTGGCTACTTGGATAAACCCGTTTGTCACTGGGTCCAACCAGCAAACTTGACCAGACTGAAGGCTAGTTTGCCAGTTTTCTGATTGAACGCCCAGGCTGGTTTTTTTTTTTTTTACCTAAAGTAAAGAATAATCTAAAAACTCTTAGTTTTATTGTGATGTTTCTACTTTTTCTATCGGTTTTGGGTGTCGTCATTAATTTAATATGTATTGTGGATCTTTATTTAGATATTTATATCAATCGAACCAAAAAAAAACAGCGGTATAAATATTTAATTATTAGCTGATAGATTTTTTTAGTGTATTTTCAGAAGAAAACCAAATCATTATCCTTCCACGAATCATCGATTCATATTAAAAGTTGTAAATACAAAATATTTTGAATCTATCTATGTTTAATTTTCTTCTTCGGAACCTGTGGGTAATTTTCCCAACTTTTTATTTGAAGTTTGGTGAAAGAGCACTATAAAAAAATTGCAAATCTGTTCGATTCATTCTTTTGAACTTCACAATAATAAATCTAGGAGAATGAATATTTGTAGAAATTGAATTCTAAATTTTAAGATCCATAATGTCATAGGCTTAATTACGTGAATCATTGTTTGTTTCTTTATTGATTTCAAGCTCGCTTCGGCGAAACATTTTCCTTTCCAGACTAATTTGACTGTACAGTTTGAGGTAATTAACTGAATAAATGCTTTATTTTTTTAATTTATTTCATTTTAGTTGTTTGCTACGTCTTATGATTTTTTCTGCTTAAATAATTTCTATAACTGTGTGAAGTTACGATTTTGGGGGCTAAGTTATGCTTTCTGGTACTCAATTTTGGGAAATCGCAGGAAATCCTTTCAATTTTGTTTAAGAAAAAATTCTCCATTTTTAGAGAGTATTTATTAATCATTAATTTACATTGTTGTCTATAATATCTTCTGGTATGGTATAACTTGAGAATTCCTGTTTTTCTTGTGCTCTCTCATAATTAATTAGTTTCAGTTATCGTCTTTCTGCATTGTCAATTTTCATGTCATTATTTAGATTTTATATTAGTTGGCAGCGAAAGTATGTAACAGCCGAATGAACTCTTTTTACTTGATTTTGTATTTATAATATGAGAGATTATTAGTACTAAAGCAACATTAAGTAAGTATATGTGATTGCGTTTTATTGCATCAGATGGCGGAGATTGTGATATCAATCGGGTCAAAGCTTGCAGAATATTTGGTGGCTCCAATTTCACAAGGAGCTACTTATTTGTTCTGCTTCAAGCAGCTCATTGGAGGTGTTGAGAAAGCAAAACAAGAGCTGGAGGCAAAACTAGAAGACGTGAAAAAGCGCAAGGAAGAAGCTGATCGAAAAACTGAAGAAATAATGCCATCCGTGAAGAAGTGGTTGGATGATGTGAATGCAATCCTAGAAGAGGTGCAAAAGCTACAACAAGAGCTTGAAGGAGGACGAAACAAGTGTTTTAATGTGTCACTCAGATATTCTTTAGCAAAACGAATGGAAAATAAGGCTAAGCAAATGACAGATCTCAAACAAAATTCCAGCTTTGAGCCATTTTCCCAACTGATCCAACTTCCTGGCATTACTTACTTCTCTTCCAAAGAGTTTATGGCTTTCAACTCAAGGAAATTAACTTATAATCGTCTTTTGGAGGCAATTATAAGTGGCAAAAACAAGATGGTGGGACTGTATGGTATAGCGGGCTCAGGCAAAACCACGTTGGCAAAGGAAGTGGGCAAGAAAGTGGCTGAATTGAAGCTTTTTGACAAGGTCATCATGGTAGTCGTTTCTAAAGACCCAAATATTCTGGACATTCAGCAGGAAATAGCGGGGCAAATAGACTTGCCACTTCAAGAGCCAACTCAGCCTACTAAAGCACAAAGGCTATCAAAAGGATTGAAAAATAAGAAGATTCTTATAATCCTGGATGATGTGTGGAAGCATCTAAACCTTGAAGATATTGGCATTCCACTTGTTGAAGGTTGTCATATCTTGTTAACAACTCGCCTTCGAGATGTATGTGTCTCTATGGATTGTGAGCCTATGATTGAACTACCTTTGATAACTAAGGGGGAGGCATGGGACTTATTCAAGAAGCATGCAAACCTAGGCAACGATCCCTTAAATATGTTTGGTGATGTGGGAGGGAAAATTGTTGATGAGTGCAAGGGGTTGCCAATTGCAATTGTAGCAGTTGGAACGTCCTTAAAGGGAAAACATATTGAAGCATGGGAATCAGCATTATGGAGACTAAAACACTTCCAACCGTTGAATGTTGGACAAGGTCTTGCGAGTGCTTATGCATGCCTCGAATTGAGTTATATTAGTTTGCCAAGTTCCACAGCCAAGTCGCTTCTCTTATTATGCTCTATGTTCCCCGAAGATCATGAAATTCACAAAGAAGATTTAATTCGATTTGGCATGAGGACACTTGAGCCGGAGGAGTCTATTTTCACAGTAGAGGGTGCAAGGAGAGTGATTTTTGATGCTCTTGAGATATTGTTGGATTCTTGTTTGTTAATGAGTATAAAGAAGGAAGCATGTGTAAAAATGCACGACTTAGTTCGAGATGTAGCCTTATGGATTGCAAAGAAGCAAGGTCAAGAGATTTTGGTGGACAGCAGTGAAGTTTCAAACATTTTGCTTGGCAATCGCCAAAATTTGAAAGATACAAAAGCACTGTCATTGTGGAATCTGGATGCGGATTTCAATCTCTTTGATCAATTGCATTGTTCAACACTAGAGATTTTGCTACTTCAACCTCATGGGTTTATTGAAGATGTGGGAGCAATAAAAGCACTCAAAGTCTTGGCACTCATAGAATATGGCTTTCAATGGGGACATAGGATGAGATCATCTGTTCGTTCAATCCCGCGATCAATTGTATCATTAACATATCTTCACACCTTATGTATTAGAGGGAAAAAATTGGGTGATATCTCTCTATTGGGTGAACTCAAAACATTGGAGATTCTTGACTTACGTGGTTCTCAGCTTGATGAATTGCCTATCAGAATTGTAGACATGAAAATGCTAAAACTTTTGGACATATATGATTGTGAAATTGAGAAAAGCCCTATAGAAGTAATTGGTAGATGTGAGCAGCTTGAAGAATTATATTTTTGGGACCACAAATCTGTCATCCCACATAATTTCTCTCTTTCAAGATTGAGGAGGTATGTTCTCTATGACTCCACATGTCGTATAATTCCTGAATATGTAAGTGACCCTTTTCAAGAATATGTGGATAGTTGTGGTGAAGCATTAAGAGCTTTATGCATACAAGGCTTTAGAGTCTCTATTTTGAATTCATCAATGAAAAATCTCATTCTTAGAGCAAATCACCTTTGGTTACATAATTGTTCGTGGGATCATAAAGATATAAATTTTCAAATAAACCACTTAGGGGTATCATGCTGTCAAGAGAAAAGATTCATCATTGAGAAGCCTGATGTGAACATTCTTCAAACGCAACAAGTTTTCTCACGCTTGATCACTTTGAGACTGTTTGAAATGAATAGTCTTGAGCAAGTGTTTCAAGATTCATCTATTGCCTGCTCTCTCCCCATGTTACAAGAGCTATGGATACAGAGTTGTCCTGAATTGAGAATATGTATCTTCTCGCATGCCACCATTACGAGCCTGCCAAAGTTGAGAAAACTTCATATTGATCGTTGTGACAAAGTGAAATGGCTATTGTCTTGTTCCCTGGCTTCTTATTGTCCTTTACTGAAGGAAATAATTATAAGCAATTGCTCTGAATTTGAGAGGCTCATTGATGAAGAAGCTGCACATGGGGATCTACTACTTCATGATAATCAATATTATCCATATGTAAGTATTATTCGCAAAATTCTTTTTGAATCATTGTGTATTAGAAATAATAGTCCATATCCACACATTTGATGAAAAGTATTTATCTTTCATTTAATTTTTAAACTGAATTTTTTTTGCTTTTTTCTTTTGACACGCATAAATTTGATATCCTTTTCTCAATTTACGTGAAATCAATGCCTTTTTATTTTGACTCCTATGCTGAAAAGAAAAACTAGAATCATGCACCTACTAATAATTTCACTTGTAGGTGATTTTTTCTTTTTGCTCACTCTACTTTTTTTTTTTTTTTGCCGAGAACAAATTGAAGATATTACTTTTTTCGTTTAATTTAAAAAATCTGTGCTTATGATCGAACAATATATATAAGTATAAAATATATATATATATATTCTCAATAACCAACAATAGTCATGTTATTTTTCTTTTTGTTTATTCTACCTCTACTTTCTTGTTAATTTAAAGATAGCCATGTTTACAATCGTATAATATATATATATATATATATATATTTATGTTTTAAAAAATATTCTTCGTAAGAGATAATAGTCGTTTTATTTTTGACATGAGTTCATTGTTACTATATAAGCCTCTTTTTATTAGGAAGTTTTCTGAGCTCTGTATTTAGGCTACATGATAAAACTACTTTTTGAGTTTTTCATTATTTTCAAGATAAAAAATACTATTGCTTTTTCAAGCTTTGTATTTTTCATATTAATTCTTTTTTGGCATCAAGTATTTATTGTGGGAAGTACTTATTCAAAGTTGTTCTATTTATAATAAATTGGCATTGATGCATTTTCCATATATAAAATGTTCTTTCTTTCTTGGTTTGGATTTTTCTGCCATGCTTTTTTGTGGATGTGAAAAAACACTTTTTAACGGTGCCGCTCTTGGTCTTAAACAATTGTATGTTTATATTTCAGTTTTTGGTCAAATAAATATTTGTGTTGGTCAAGAAATATATAATATGTCTACTTATATATATATCATTAATAAATGTTATAGCAGAGGTTGAATTTAGGGTGTGTTTGGGTGACACCCCAAACCATGGTTTGGGGAATAATCTACCCAAACACCCCTCCAAAACCAAAACCATAGTTTTGGGTCAAAACCATGGTTTTGACTCCAAAACCATGGTTTTGGAAAAAGCAAATTTTTTTTGCTTTTGGAGAAAGAAGGGAGAGTGTGAGGGCCTATATATGTATCTTGTTATTTTTTTTATAAACATATTTTTTTATAAATATATTTAATTTTATATTTTTAAATATATATACACATTAATTATTTATTAATTATATTATCTTATGTATTATTAATTATGTGGTAAAAAACATATTATTAACAATTTATTCCTTCAAATTAAAATATATCATAAAATCTATTTTTTCTGTAATTATCATATTAACTTATATCTTTTTTTTAGTAATTTGTATATATAAAAAGTGCTTCTGATAACAACTATCCAAACACTCTCACTTCTCAGAATCACTTTTTTACAAAATCTATTCTTCACAGAATCTATTTTCCCCAAAATCTATTCTCCAAAATCACTTTTCCAAACCACGGTTTGGTTTCATCCAAACACACCCTTAATCATGTAGCAAAACATATATAGAATATTCGTTTGTTAAATACATGTTGAGATTATGTTAATTATCACCATTTAAAAAAATACAAGAAATCAATTTCAAAATTTTGGCCCAAAAAAAAATCAATTTCAAAATGAAAGTCAAGTGTTGTTTGTTATCATAAAATAGTTTGGTAATCATAATTTCTATCACCATCTATATATTAATTGTGGAAAGTAACTAAAGAAGTTAATATATTATAAATTAGCGTCGTTTCTTTCTTTATTTAAAGACTTTTAACTACATAACAATGTTCGTAGAATGAAATTCTATATCTTTGCACTACTGCTAGTCCTCAAGTATAAAATATAGTTTGCAGTGCACCTCAATGATAATATTTTAAAAATATGTAGGATACATATATAATCATATATAATTGGAGAACCTTGTATAATGAATATAAAGAATTTGACCTAAATATTGTTGCTTAATATTTATGTTATATACTAAACATTAAAGAGAAGATTAAGGAGTAAGTAGCAATAATAAATAAAAGTCCAGGGACCAAATTTTATATTAAGTTAAAATTATTGGGACTAAGAGATTTTTTTTTTTAGATTCAACTACTAATTATGTTTTGTAACCAAATTACACTACTACTTCTACTTTTCTTTTTTTTTTCAGTATTACAAAAATTATTTATAAATTGTCTACTTGTTTTTTTTTTTTTGAGTATTACAAAAATTATTTACAAATTGTCTTTGTTATCTCATTCTTCCGACCGGCACTTTAAATTTTTTGTTTTATATTTTGTCTATAAAATAATGATTTAGGATACCACATTTTAAGATAAATGTTTTTCTTAAATTTTCTTTTGATATTTAAAAAGATCTCTCTTACCGTGCCTCTTTTACTGCTATTAAAATTTTTATATTTTCATTTCAAGTTTTGGTAATGAAAAAAGCGCTGGTTGTTACTATATATATTTGTCTACTTGTTAAAAAGGATTATTTACGAGCAATAGTTGGCAATAATTAATATATAATATAAGAAACTTACTGGGTTTAATCTCCAATCTAGTTAGAGTAAAAAGCAAGTTGTTTTTGTACAGCCACACGCAATCGTGGGGGCATGATATAAGGTTGCTTTTGTTATTAAAATAAAAAAAAAAAGCAAGTTGTTATAATCAGTCCATTTCATAATTTTAATTTTAATACATTTACAGGGAAAGGAAACTGACAGTGCTTATGTGGGCGTTACAGCAAAAAGATTCAATCAGTTGCAAAATCAGCAATCCTTGATCCTTTTTCTCAGGTTGAAAAGTCTACAAATTGAAAGCAGTGGAAAAAAGAAAGGTATATTGGAAATCCAAGTCAAAGGAAGAGTAGAAGATGATGATGAATCTATTAAAGCCCAAGAACCTCTAAAGCTGGATTCAGAGTTGAGTGAATTAATACTATTTAGTCTACCAGAATTGGAATATATTTGGAAGGGCCCCACCCAAATTGTGAGCCTCCATAGACTTGAATTTGTTTTATTGGACAGCTGCCCAAAATTAAAAAGTATCTTCACTCTTGCTATTGTTGCAAGCCTTCCAGAGTTGAGAGGACTTCAAGTATATGTTTGCGAGGAATTGGAGGGAATATTTTGTGAAGAATTACTCAAAAACCTCTCTTCTTCTAATATTTGCTTCCCCAAACTTACATATATTGAGATAGGCAGTTGCAACAGAGTGAGATGGTTGTTATCTTATTCTCTTGCATCTCATTGTCCTTCACTAGAGCAAATAAGTATATTCCGTTGCTCTGAATTTGAGGGGCTGATTGGTGAAGAAGTTGCACATGGAGCCCATCCACTACTTCATGATATGCAAGATCATCCACAGGTAAGTCTCATCCGCAATCTCTCTCTCTCTTTTTTTTTTTTGACCAGCAAATCCGCAATGTCTCTCTTGAATCATTGCATATTAGAAATAATAATAATCCATATATATATGTTGACGCATTTGCTAAAGTAGCCATGTTCAATTTACATCTCCCTTTTATTTGAAAATTTTTTGTTTGCTATCGTATAATATATATATTTGTATAATCATTAAACATAACTTCTACAGTATTTATTTTATTTTTGACTTCACTTTATTATACCTGCATAAACCTCTTTTTATTATTAAATTTTCTTGGCTATATATTCAGGCTGCACGATGAAACTATTTTCTGAGTTTTCCTTATTTTCATAATAATAAAATAATATTTCCTTTTTCCTTTTTTTTAAAATAACAACTTTTATTTGTCAGATGCAGTAACATTTTACATTTCGTATTCTGCATTTTGGTCAAGTAAATGACTTTTTCATATTGCTTTTACTATTAGGTATTTATTGTGGGAAGTGCTTATTCAAAGTTATTTTTATTCAAAAATAAATTAGTGTTGATGCATTATATAAAAACTACACATACTTTAAGAGAAATATTTTTCCCTTTCAAATTTTTTCGCCATGCTTTTCTTTTCTTTTTGATGTGAGAAAATACCTTTTTGTGGCTTTCTTTTTCTGCTAAAAATTAAGTTAACATTAGTATGTTTGTTCAAATAATTCTTGTCGGTCAAGAAATATTTAATATGTGTACTTCTTGGTAAAAAAAAGATATATATATATATATATGTTATTTATTAAATGTGATATCGTTGTTATAATAGAGAATTAACATAATTATGTAGTAAAAAGTATATACAACATTTGCCAATCACACATTTTCCATGTTACTATAAAAATTGATTGAGTCCGGTAAAATGCATGTTGAGATTAAGTTGGAGCTGATATAATATCTACAAATTATGTATATAGACACAATATTTGTTAAATTTTCTGTGGACGCTAAAAAGGTCTTTGTCAGTGGGCATCTTTTATTGCTATTAAAATTTGTAGGTTTTCCTTTCAGCTTTTGTACGAAACTAACTAGCGTGCTTTAATCTCTCAGCAACCTTTGATCCGAAATTGTTCTGAACTTGAGAGGCTTGCTGAAGAAGCATCCTATGGGGATCGGCTACCACTTCTCAAACTGAAGCACTTTCGCTTGTTGTCATTGCCGAAATTGAGAGAGATATTCCCTCACGTAAGTGTTTCCTCTCACTATTTCTTTTTTTATTTGTGATTTTTTATGGATAAAATTGATAAATGTCTTTTAAATTATTTATCAAACAGAACACTTTATATTTTTCGTTTTATAGCTTCGTTGGAGAAATAACTTCTTTGTTATTATAGAAAGTACTTGTTCATGGTTGTTTTTGTTAAGAGTGAATCAGTGGAAATATTTTCTCATTTTCTTTGGACGTGAGAAAATTCTTTTTACAGGACCTGTTTTCCTTTCCTCTTGTTTACTTTTTAAATTTATTTGAAAATTTGTGTTTACTATGAAACGATATATACGAGTAGCAAGACTATATTCTAATGAAAAGCAATAATCATTTCAAATTTTATTTAATATTTTGCGTCTGTGAAGCAGTCTTCTCGTCATGAAATCATGCTGGAAATTACTTGAAGTATTAGCAATGTTCCCATTAATGCTTGGTTGCGGAATCATTTTTCGTTTTTGTGAGCGGTTCTTTATCATGGAAAGTATGACTTGTCCAAGACTGTTTGATTTGAAATAAATCAACGTGGATGCATATTTATACATCATACATTGTGTACGTGTGTGTCTATATATATTTCACATTGGACCATCAATAATATGTATAAGAAAAGTCTAACTTGATAAAATTCATCTTACTGAGCTTATCTTATTACAGTTTTATAAATATGTAACATGAATGGGGTTTACTTTTTAATGTTACAGTGCCGTTAAATTTATGTGGTTCATGTGTGTGTATACATAGTCTATATGTTGAATTTTCATCTAATCATTGAATATATTTACTTCACAGAAACATGACAATGACACAGTGAGGGTGGTGAAGTCAGAATTGTGTTCCATGGAGTTAGTAAATCTACCGGAATTAGAATATATTTGGAAAGATCCCATACAAATTTTGAGCTTCCATAGACTTGAAAGCATTAAAATGTGGGGATGCCCAAGATTAAGAAATACGTTCACTCTTGCTATTGTCACAAGCCTTCCAGAGTTGAGGAGACTTGAAGTAAGAGGATGCAATGAATGGGAGGGAATATTTTGTGAAGAGTCACTTAAGAATCTTTCTACTACTTCCACTGTTTGCTTCCCCAAACTAGGGACCATTTGTATATCTGATTGCCATAAAGTGAGAAGGGTGTTCTCATATTCTCTGGCATCTCATTGTCCTTCATTGGAGAAAATAACTATAAGGAATTGCTCTCAACTGGAGAGGGTTGTTGAAGCTTATGAAGGTGAAGTAGCTGCTCATCATCAAAGGCTGTTTCCTAAACTGAATGATTTGGATCTCGGGAAGTTGCCAAAGTTGAGAGAGATTTATGAAGGTTATGAATTCAACCTCCTTTCTGGTACTATAGCAATAGAACATTGTCCAAACATATCAAAAATCTCAAAAATCCCATTAGAAGACAAGCCCTCATCATCAGGTTCGTAGCTACACTTTTTCTTTCAAACTATTATCATATTTAATCAATGAAATAATTTTGTGCATTACAATTTCTATTTTATATGGAAAAAAAAGTCTTTTATTACGAGAAAAAAAAATTCTATCTTAACAACCACACATACATCGCTCTAATTTTTTTTAATCAGAAATTGCAATCACTCCCAAAATTTTTCGTCATATCAAAATCATAATAATGTACTCGTATTAAATAAGTGACATGTTATGGTAATATTAGAAGTTGAATAATTATATGGAACTCAAAAATAATTAATTTCCACCATTTACATTCTTAGTACATTATTTCTCATCATTATAAATAGTTAGCTCTAATTTAATACACATTATCTAAGGACCGTCTCGAAGATTGTGAAGAATAAACAAGGTTATTAATTTTTATTTTGTCTATATGTTCCATTTTGATTAAGCTGCTAATTAATTTTTTTTTTTGGTCAGCCTTGGAGATCAAATTGGAAAGTGAGATAATGAAGGGCTGATGATGAGCTTTGGATCTTCCAATGGTTTCTTTATCTGCATTTGTGTTTTACTAAGTTGTGTGTGAAAATATGTTGGATTTGTATCAGTGTGTTGAAAATTTCACAAAAACTTTTTTTTAAAAAAAAAAGAAGCTTAAAAATTTAGACATACATTTACTTTGAAGTTGTATTTTATTTGAGTCTGTTGAAACTATGTAACTACATTCAAGATTGCACACAAAATACAATAATTGTGTGGCCCTTGTGTGCACAACTTATTTTATTTCAAATATTGTATCAATGATTTCTTATGTTATTCTTTATTTCAATCTCGCAATATAGTTGTTATTATTTTATAAAAAAAACAATCTTGTATATCCATTTATATTGAAAAAAAAAATCATCACAAAAAAGGTTTTTCAAATAGGAAAAAAGATAACATACTTTTAAATTGTAGACGAATAAGTTTTGAAGGTCTCACCCATAACCTCTCCACACTTGCTTCATAATCAAAAGCATTTCAAGTGAAACTTTATAATACAATCCATGAATTTGACAACTGTAAATAACTAAAAAAAATTTTAAGAGTTGCCTCCATTTTGTATAAAAATTAAAACAATTTTTAAGAGAGAACGTCATTAAAGGGATAATAATATTAATCCATCATCAAATAGAATTTATGTTATAAAAAAAAGAATTAAATTATATCTGGCCTCTACAAGGAACAGTGATAAGTGATAACTACAAAAAGAATATGACAAAGCTCCCTTGTGTTTAATTTAAAAATAAAAATATCATTCATAGTCCACTTATTATAAACCGAAGTCTTGCTGATAGGTCTTTGTTTTCGCCCTTTTTTACTCATCTAATAAAGCATACTTTAGCAAACATATATAAGAAATTAGGATTCTTTACATTCATGGATTGATACATTTGAAGAAAATTCCATAAAAGAATGTAACTACAAATTAGAAATAGTCTTGAGAGTTTTTGAGAAGGTACTAAAGCTAGAAACATAAATATTCTCTTTATTGAATCTACAGAGCATGAATCCAAATGCTTTATAATCCTAACTGGGACCAAGTTAAAAAAATCAAAGGATGATTGTGAAGAAAGAATATTACTCATCATATTTGCCATGACTTAAAGATTTATGTATCTGTGCTTCTCATTCTCATGAATATCAAGTAGGTGGGAAGAACCTGTTGAGATTGAATGGCAAAGTATAGAATTCTTCATTTCTGCTATCTCCTTTAAACTTTCTGAACTTTGCCCACCATGTCATCCCTCTATCTTTCTTTGACTTTTCAACCTCGAGCGTGTTGTCAAGGAACACTGCCACAATCAAAGCCACTACGGCCGGCGATGAGAATATGGTGTTTATGAGTGCATTGAGCTACAAAGATGACACATTGTCACACATAAAAATGAGTTCTTGATGTTCAAAAATTTCAGCAACAATGGAGGGATGGTTTGCTTATGTCTTAATCAATAATCTCAGCCTTTTAAGACAACTTTCCACTTAATCCCATCAAAGGGCTTGAAACTAGTTCTAAATTAATAGAAAATATTCTAAACCACTTTAATTTTGAGTCAAACCACAAAGAAGGAACTGTAATTTATTTAACTTTAACTGTTTGGTTCAGCATTTCTGGGACGAGATTTTATTTTGCTTGCACAAAAAACTAGTGTAATATCTATTATACACTTTGATCACTACTCTTCTCAATCAAATTTTGCGTAATAGCTAATTATGCCACTAAACGAAAACTCACCCATCCAGCATTGGTATGAACAAGGCCATGATGTGGAGGACTCCAGTAATCATTGAAAAATTGAGGAATAGAAATTCCAAGGAACAATGATAGCCCAGTGATGATTAGGTTTCTCATGGAGTTCATGTTTGTGAACTGAAGAAATGATATTCCAACTGAAGCTAAAGGAACAAAAACAAGTAACTGTGAATGGAGGAGCCAAAGTTAACTATGGAAATAAAAATTCAATCGAACTAATTGCTTGTGTACCTACGAGACCGAAGAGAATGCAGTACAGTGCAGTGAATATTGGGAACGGAATAGATGCAAAGACAGCCCCAAACTTCCCTGCAGAAACAAATAGAATAATACTTTAGCTAGTGTAAATGAAACTATCTTCCTACTCTAATTTCTACTCTATCATCATAACAGAAAACAACTAACTTACTAAGCTTAGAACATCAGAAAACATAGGAAAATGTGGATGCAACCCTTTAAGTCATTTGCAAACAGTTCTACTGGAAACTTTGGGATTTAGGCCCCGTTTGGTATTGAGGAGGAAAGATAAAGATGGAAAGGATGCTTTTTATATCTTTGTTATACTCAATAATGTCTCTTTTTTAATACATTTTTAAGGTAGGGAGACCAATCACTCTTGCACTCTTGTTTACGTTTAAACTAATAGGGGGTTCATGTGGCAGGATAAAGGTATGAAATGTCATATTCTGTAACCAAGTAATAAACAAAAGGTTTTAAATGTCAAAGTTGGAAATATATCATTTCAAAGTTGATGATGTTCATAAATTACAAAGAGATGAAGAGATGTATTTTCATTTTCCCCAATTAAAATACACAACATGAGAAAGAAATAAAACATCAGAGCCTCATTTCTGTTGTATCAGTGGTGCAGACTAATGTTTTGAAAGAACTATACCAACCTAACATGGAGAAGAATATCATGAAACCAGCAGAAATCTGAACAACCCTTCGACTTCCAACTCGGGTTAGTCCAAGAAGGCCCACATTTTCTCTGGAATGCATAATAAAGATGGTCATCAAACTAATATTCAAAGATTAGAGAGACCATTTGCAAGTAACTTTGCAGTAACATCTCACGAAAGGGTGTCACTTACACTGAAACGGTAGAACCTGTCCCTGTTCCATAAAGACCACCGAGCAAGACACCAATGCCCTGTGCAAAATTAATAGGATCAGCTTTCAGACACATCAAGTATCAGATCTATAATAATGTTATTATGCATTTCTTGCAATTCAAGTAACAGGACCAACAAATCAATATAATCAAAATTTAACAATCAGTATGACCACAGGCCGCACTTTATCAATAACTGATTTGTGGTAAGTAGTGACTTACCTGCCAGCCAATGCCTCGACTCAGAACATAAGCAGGAGGTGGAGTTGCAATTGCCAACCGGGATGCTGCCTTATATCCAGCAGTTGACTGCAATGAGAAATTCTTTATCAGAACACCATTGCAGAATTCCCCAAAATCGTAAAGAGGCCAACATTATGATTATTCTAAATTCTTCCTTTTATCATTTGGTATGCACGTTGAAAAATGAATGGATCGGAAAATAATAAAAAAATGATTTTGAGGGTAAAAATTAAACATATTCTCTTACTTTGAAAAAGTAATAAAAATGAACATTGAATAATGATTATAAAGATATAATAGCCATTGCAGAACAGGGAAGAAAAATCCCTTTGTCTAATTACTACCAAATAAATGAGTTGAGAAAAATATCTTCAGCCCCTTGAACAATTTTTAGAGTGTAAATATCGTAGTTACAGAAATAGTCAACAGAAATAACTGAACACAATGGGAGCAGCTGGTGTGTGGTTATACTAATTTCTCAAGACCATGGAAAGTTATTTCCAAACCATTTGAACAAGACATAAAATATATGTACCACAAATATTTAAAAGCCCAGGGTTTTTGGTCCAACAGCTTTTATCACTTAATGTTTTCTCGCGTGTGTTTGCATTTGGTTAAACATAACTTAGGCATGCTATGTTGCATCAGAAAAAGAACATCATTCTCTTTGCCAGAATAGTGAAAATAACAGTGCTAATGGTAAATGACATGATTAGGATAATAAATGGTTACCTCAACCATTGAGACAATAACTGCAGACATTGTAGCAAATGCATGACCAGCAGAAAAGGTCGGTGGGCCCCACTGGAGTGGGTAGGGGAACATGAACCTATTATTAGCATTGAAAGAAACCTTAGACCTCAGCAACTAAGTGGTTCAAAATTTAAGAAGAATCGAACAAAAAGATGTACCATGGGGCTGTAGATATCAGGTTTGCTCTGTCTGTACGACAAAAATGCTGTGTTCTAGCAAGTTTATGCCGATAAGCTCCACTTGCAGTCAATATAATAGCATAGATCCAAATAATGGCAATGCAAATCAACACTGGAAATCTTTCAAATATAGGGGTATCTCTAAATGGTCTCACATGCTTAAAATACTGCAAATTAGATAGAATTAGTTTCGTCCGAAGGAAGATTTGAATAATGTGATGGCTTGAAGCACCATGTTTTATTAGTGATTTTCCACTTACTTGTGATAATCCAATCACTAACAAGAGCATTGGCAGGCCAATTTCTATACAGTTTCCCAACTGAAATAGATAATCAAATGATTGAGTACTCTTAGGGCCCATATTATATCATAAAGAAAAGCATTCCCTTTCCAATTAAAAAAAACCAAAAAAAAAAAACAAAACAAACAAACAAATACATGGCATCTATTATGTTCCTCATATGATCACTCAACATTACCATCTTTTTTTTTTCCAGGCATATAAGTAAGATTCTTTTCTCCATTGTTATTCTATTTTACTTTCTATCCCTAATATTCTGCATACCAAATGAGCCATTAAACTTAGATGGTATGCAATTATGCAAATAAGGTTTCAATCTGGCATTAGATAGCTTAGTGAGTTAAAATAGCCTTCTAAAAGAAGATTCATTAATATGGTTATTTAGAGGTCAAATCAAGTACTATTCATAAATCTAAAATGATAGAATTTAGACTAAGCCTTCAAATAAGCAAAGATAGAAGCAGAGGTCCAACTCTAAGCTTCAGGAAAAAAAAATGTAGTCACTTGAAACAGGAATCAACTTCAGAGGTTGCATTCAGCTATTCAAGGAATGCTTTTTAGATGCTACATTGTTTAGCAACATTCAGATTGTAGAGTAGAAGTCCTTTTATAATTGAAATGGTATGGTCACATAATTTCCCTTGTCATTTTCTTCTCGAAAAGGCTAAGGTTTTCCAAATGTATAACATATAAAGCTGCTCATAGCAACACATACCGCAGGAAATCCTCGTTGAAAGAGTCCTAATCCAAGCAATCCAACTACAGGTGCCATGTTAAGAGGGCTGAAAAATCTAGGGAGAAGATCCATAAACCATGTTTCAGTAAATCAACAACAACAACACCACCACCAACAACAACAACAATCCTTATTTCACTAGGTGGGGAAACCATATTTCAGTAAATGCTTAGATATATTATTTTTGTAATTTTCATTTAATCAACATTTTCAGATGCAACTTGTGTACCTTGAAAGTAGTCCCCAAACTTGGCTATATCCCAAGATTATCTGAATACTTGAGGCTACAATTAAAGCTCCTTGTATAGCTCGCATTGACTGTATAAATCTCTGCCAATGACAAGGGAAGAACCTCAGTCAATTATTAGATGGCAAGAAAGAAAAGAAAATCATTGTTAAAGCTGATGCATTACGATGAGATGTGAAGGAAACTTACTTCATGATTATCATTAATTCGATGCAATGAAGAGTCACTGATAATATAACCGACTGGAATTAAATAGGCATAAGATCCTCCAACAACTGCAGGCAATCTGGTTCCGAAAAGTGATTGGAGAAGTGTGTTAATGCCGGCTACAAAGAGTAAAGTCTGTATCACTCTTGCTTTGTCACCCTGGTTGTATGAGCAAGCAAATCACTAAATGCTTTGTACACCATATTAACAGAACCTGACAAGATCATCTTGGCCAAAATTTAACCCTATATAGTTAAAAAGAATTCTGTGAAGTTTTGTCAAGTTGAAAATTAGAATGGGAATTGGCACAAGAGATCAGCGCAAGCATGGTAAAACTAAATGTAGATACTTAGAGATAAAAAGCATAAACAAACTGTTATACCATTCCTACATGGTCTTTAGTGAATCACGAATAAAAGGCTTTGCAACCATACATGAACATGTGAGCCAATAGTGAAGGAAGTTGAAAAGATGAAAGAACACAAGGCAGCAGAAATTCAGCTTACATCACTTCCTCCTATGGCTGGAACGAGCAATGAAGGTATCATCACACTTGTCCCCAGCACCAGTATGTAATTTTGAAATCCTAATAAGATAGTTTCCACTGCAAAAAAGGACATTCACTATGAGCAGGAAAAGGGGCAAAAATTTAATGAAAAAAGAACAGAATGTATACAAGCATCTAACTATACCAAAACATGTATCCTTCACTCTCTAAATATTGGACGTCCTATACTCTAACTTAGATCATATATTTGTTTAAAGTTAAGAAAGTTAGAACTTTTCAGATATCAAGATTCGGAGGGTGTAACAGAATCCTCCCTCCTTCTTTCCCACTCTCTCTATTCTTTTCTCACCCGCACACAACAGAACACATTATAGCTTAGTTGAAACATACTTAACATGGCCACATGGTAATGCAGCCAGGACTTGTAATATCTCCCAAGCTTGAAGAAAGTCAGCAGCAGATTATGGAATATCATTCTTTTATTATCTGACTTGCACAGGCAATATATCAGACAACTTACATTCATATGCTTAAATGACAACAGAAGACTAGAGTTGGACAATTGTTTTTTGATGCAACATAACTAGACCTCAGTCACTTACAGAGAAACATCCAAGCGAATCTTTATGTACACGCCAATAGGATATGTGATATAAGCAAAATTTTTCAGAATCTTAATGGCAATTTTCTCATAGTTACCATCTTACAAACTTTGACTATCACTAAATTTTGTACGATACAGATTAACATTATGCTCACCCGTTTTTCCATGGTAAAGAAACGGAAGGGACCTTCATGAGGTTCCCATCTGTATTTCATGTGGCTAGGAATCTAGAGAAAACTGAATGTTGTCCAGTAAAATTTGAAAAAAAAACAAAGAACAAAAAAATGTGATAGAGGTTTCGGGCATTCATTATCAAGTTCACTAAAAACATAACAAGTGCATAATTTTCATAACTCAAGAAGCACATGATTGAGTCTTCCTAAAATTTCTCCACCTCTTATAAGTCAACAAAGTAGTTAGTCCAAAGTCTGGAAAATAAAGTCAATAACTATTTCTGTCCTTTTTAATGCTATGGCTACATTTCTCAATTCCAGATAGCCCAGTAGTTTAAACCTTTTAACTATAGAAGATGATTTGAATTCAAAATAATTTCACCGTAGGAGTAGGATACAGCAAAAACAAATAAATAATATTGACTTAGCTATTGTAGATAGAACATCAACTCATGCAAGGGTTACCAACAGAAAAAGGTTAAATAAATAAAGGATTAGTCTTAAATAAATATGTGGGGCCACTTTAATCTCTTCAGTAATCAATTAATCATTCACCAGAACTAGCTAGAAGGAGAAAATTGAGCAACCTTGACAGGGTGAAAGGGTAACTTTGCGTGACATGATGCCGTTATTGATGCCCTCATTTGCGACGCATGGTTATTAATCTTCCATAGCTAAGTAAACATGATAATGAAGTACTGGGAAGCTCGAAATGCCAATTATAACGCCAGAATGCAAAGTGTAAATTTGTTCGCAGAAGTATAAAGAAAATTACCCTCAGAGAGCAAACAGAGAGAAACATAAAAATTTGAACTTTTAATCAACACACCAAAAAGGACAGTGAAAGCATGTTTCTACACTTCTTTAGTTACTCAGAAAACTCAAAACAAATAGCGGCATTTTCCCTTCAATTACGAAATGTCTGTAATGCTAAGAAAAAAGTTCAGTCCTCATACTTTAGAAAATGACAAGCTTTCCATCCTCTGTTTTGTGAGGGAAAACTGACTGCAACTTTGCAGTCAAATCAATATTTAAAAAAGCTCTTGTTTTAAAGGGCGCACATGATTATGAAAGGAAGATAAGAAGCAATAGAAAAATGGAAGTAATAATGAGTAGGCAATAGACGCCAAAACAACAGAGGGAGAGAGACCCACAAAGCACATGTCTTTAAGCGTGGAAAACCGAAACAAAACAACCCAAATGAGATTATAGAAAGAGAAAGAGCGAGGCGTACCCCACGGAGGATTTGAGTCTATGCAGTACTCAAGGTCCTGAAGCTGATCCATAGGTGCATGGATATTGTCCGCCATTGTTGAAAGCTGAAGCTTCTAACAAAGCGCACACACAAGAAGAGAAACGAGAGACAAAAAAATAATAGTAATGACAGAGAAGAAGGAGGAAAAAAGGTGGAAGGAAAGGAATTCAGAACAAAGTAAAGTGCAGATATAAAGTAAGCAAAGAAAAGCATGAAAATGAATAAATAAGGAAATGAATATATATACGTGTGTGTGTGTGTACGCATAAGCTCGGAGCTTCTGGGTAACTCCCTCTTATGTGGCCAATAAACTTGTTTTCTCTCTTCGAAAGAGAATGTAAAATGACAAATCCCCCCGAAGATCTTCCATTTCATTCCTTATTAACTATCATGGAAGCCAAAGGCGCCATAATTCACAATATGACGAGTGGGGTCATTCGAAGGAAGCTGGGAAATTTCAAGGCTTTATGTGGGAACCTAGTAAAGGAGGGAACCGTTCTCTTTAATCCACTTTTTGTCTAATAAATGGAGGGACTGTTTTACCCTTCATAGGAAAGCTGGGAAATTTCAAGGCTTCATGGGTAACCTAGTAAAGGAGGAAGCACTCTTTTAATTCACTTTTTGTCTAATAAATGGAGGGACCGTTTTACCCTTCATAGGATGCAGGGGTATCCTAGGAGGAGATATAGGAAGAATATTAATTTTCAAATATTTATATTCAATAATACAAAATTTTAATTTTTAAAACTATATCAAATATTTAAAATTTAAAAAAATTCTGGGGCCTCAACTGTATTTTTAAAAAATATTTACATTGTTCATATTTATAATAATTCCAAAAATCTAAAGGTCATTAATTTGACTATTTTTAATTTTATATTAGTAATTGTAATTTTTTATGAATTGTGGAACTACAGAAATTTTCTTAGGTATAAGAATCATTTGAAATTCAATAAATTTTTGTTTATTCAATAAATTTTTGTTATTTTTCTCTTGATTGTTATAAACAAACCAAATCCAGATAAACTCAATCATTTAAAATTCAAATTGTTTGAAATTCGGAAATTTGAAACTAAGTTTTCTTTTTCTTTTTTGTCAGTGTTTTAATACCAAGTCAAACAGTGTAAATCCCCCATATCGGCAAATTCAGTTCATTGTAACAAAAAAATTAGACAAAATATTAATGTTTAATACGTACTTTTTACTCTATTGCAATAAAAAGAGGGGGAGAAAAACTTTCAAGATTACAAACCAAACCCCTTAGTCAATATCCATTTCATGAATAAAAGGTGGAGGCTGGTAAGAATGCAAATGTTTACTTCCATAAAATGAGACGACTTTGCTAAATTATTTGCGAAAACAAAGTTATATTTATCAAAGTGTCAAATCTTCACCTGTCAATTCCTATACGTAACTAATCTAATATAAGTTTAATATATATTACCTCCGGTTTTAAATATAATATCTAGTTTATAGTAGAAACTGTATTATAAACTAAATCCTATATTTAGGATCGGATGAATTATTTCATAAATACAAATGAATGAACTATTTGAAAAATTTGATTCATTAATACTTTGGAATTCATGATTTAGTAAAGTCAACCATTCTACTAACTAGTTATAATACATATATTATTCAATTATAGTTAATATAAATTGATTGTTCCCCTATTTTATATTTATTATAAATTATTGATTATATTTATTAATTTTATAAGCAAAGGAGTCTCTTATAATTATTAATATTTGAAATAATGTTTAATATTTATAAAACATACGATACTTTCAAAATTATGATATTATTGCTCTGTAACCAAAACTTATTTGTATATAAATAATAAAATAAAAATGCTACAAGATATATTACAATTCAATGAGAAATACTAAAGACACATATGACATGAAATGTAAAAAAAAATGAACTAATGAATTGTTTCCATCATCGAACTATTGAATCTAACATATTTCCCGAAAATTTATAATATCTAAAAAATTTTGTCGGATGCCAACTTTAGTACCAAACATATAGTTCAAAGTTGGGCAATACACTCCGGTCAAAAAAAAAAAAAGTTGGGCAATACACCACAAGTCACGTAGTAGCTAGTATAATAATTAAAATTTTAAATAATTCTTAATTACCAACTGAATTAACATGTTACATAAATATTAGGTAAAATATTATTATTTGATTTTAAATTATTACTGTAGCATGATTAATTTATAATATTATTTAATTTGAAGTAAGCTGCAAAAAGAAATGCCAATGATAAAATGATGGTCGGTGAGAAACTTTGAGAAGAGTGAATTTGAAAAGGGGAGTTAATGGGCATTAAATGAATTGTCAGGGCTATAAACTGTAACATTAAAATTCACGAAGCCGGGAGTCCTTTTTGTTTCTAGCTGCTTCATGGGATGGTTCCTTGGATATCTGTTTGTGGAGGAAATGACATATAAGGGCCCGAATGTTTTGCTGAATCTTATATTCAGAATAACGAAATGTGGTAGCATAACTATTTTCCTTTACTAAATTATGATCATTCTTAAGTTTGGTTGGCATGAAAAAAAAATTTTAATTAAAAAAAATATAAATTTAAAATAAAAAGGGAACATTTGAGAAAGGGTAAACAGGCACGGGAAATTGGGAAGTGATGAAAAGTTAAGTTTTTTTTTTCTTCTTAATTTTATAAAGTGTCTTTTTCAATGATTTAACCTTAATATCATAAAAAAAATGTTGACATTGAAATTTGACACGTTAAAAAGATATTTTAAATACCAATATACTAAGTTTATTGTTTAAAAGCAATAATGATTGACACAAAATATTATCATTTAAGACTAATGGTGTTAAAATTAAAAAACTAAAATGATATTTTATAAAATTAAAAGATTAAATTAAAATTTTGTATGAAGTTAGAAGATCAAATTTTTACTTTACAAAATTTAAATAATAAATTCTTCAATTTTAATAATAATTTGGTATCAATTATAATTTCTGTTCACTTGAGTCTAAATTACTAGTGCTACAAATTACTATACGAACATCTTTGATTCATTTGGGAAAAAACATAAATTTAGGGACCACATTGTAATTTTAGCTTTATTGGGTGGGGAAGCAGCAAGAATGAATATGTGCTGACCAAGTGAAAAGCGAAGACCGCGGGTTGGCTGCTTTTGAGCGCTCTGTGGGGGGGATGGCAATATTGTAAATAAGTGGGAACATCAAACCCTCAATGTTAATCTAACTGTTTTTTTTTTCAGATTAAAAAAAAATTTAGGGAAAATTGTAAAAAAAGACCTTGGAATTGCAAAAAACGCAGATAGGGACCCTTGACAACTTCACTTTGGGTTTTGACAAGAATAATATGCCCTGAAGTTGTCAAAACCCAAAGTGAAGTTGTCAATGGTCCCTATCTGCGTTTTTACAATTTCAAGGTTTTTTTGCAATTTTCCAAAAATTTACCTTTTTTTTTTTCTTTTTGTGGCCAACGAGTTAATCTCACTGTTCTAAACCATTTTCAGATTGCAAATCCATAATTCCATATTACACATTTCATTAATCTTTTTTAATTATTTTATAGATATAAAATGTATAAAAAATAAAGTATTTATAAGTAAAGCGATTTATTGTAGAATCTTTATGTTATATATATATATATATATATATATATAGATTTATTTATATAAGATTTCATTATGTAATGGACTCACTGATACATAAGAATATGATTTTTTTTTTTTTTTGAGTTGGCGAACACTAAAATGTTTGCAGGTTGAAGTGTGACATTAGTTTTGACTTGCTCGACAAAAATATGAATTTAAATATATATATCCATTGATATTAATCAATTTATTAATATATATAATTTAAAAAATATTATTAAGTTATATTATTTATAAATCATACATACTAAATAATACTCCTCCTATCATTAATATAAAATTTATTTAACTAATTTGATTATATTAAGAAAATTAGGTAAGTTAGTTAATTATAAGAAATATAGCATGTTTTTCCTAAAATATCATAATCATCCCCTCTCCCTCTTCTAATTGATTATAATTGAGAGAGCATCTAGGAGTAATTTAGAAAAAAATTGATAAGTATGAGAAATAGATCTTATATTTAGGGTTAAAATTAACTTAATAATTAGGTCATATATTAAGAACCATAAGAGTATATAAATGTAAGGACTTTTATTATTAATAACAGTCTAATAGAGTTTTAAAATGTTACCTATCCAAACTTTGTTATTAAGAAAAGTATACTTGACGAGATTTAATTAGAGAATTGGATCTAATAAATATAAGCAAAGGGATCTAAGTTTTATCCATAATATAACTTATTGTTCATAAATGCGCAGAACTTACAATAATTAATATTAATTTTAACGTCAAATTGGTTATAACCTAATGTGGAAGTATGTATTTATTGATATAAATGCTATACTTTATCTTTTGCTTCATATAATCTTTCTCAAATATAATTATAATTAATAACTTTGCAATTGTTATTTATATTTCAATGTTTTGGTAGCCTTTAGAAGGATGAAGGAACAAAGCAATTAACCTGTACTAACGCTGTCTTCCTTTCCCTTGATATATAACAAGAAATAATGTGTATATTCCCAAATAAATTGTTGTCATTTTCCACTAAAGACGTGTCATTTTCTAGTAAAGATGTGTCCTTTCTAATTAAAGTACATGCTATTTTTTGTAATGTATCAGGAAAAGACACATTGTTAATCTCAAGTTTAGACTTGTCATTTTCCAGTAAAGACGTATCATTTTCAAATAAATTATGGTCATTTTTCATTAATGTACATGCTACTTCTTGTGTATCAGAAAAAGTTGTTTTGTTAATATCAAATTTAGACTTGTCATTCATCAATTAAGGCTTGTTATCCTCAGGTAAATTGTTGTCATGGGTTGGAGTCAAAGTAAAAGAGTCAACTTATATTTTTATTTGTATCATAAAATTAAAAAGTTTTTAATAGCCCAATGGTCATTTATCTTTTTGTTGGCCCACATGGCCAAAGGTTGTGGGATCAAATCTCACCCCCATCACTTCTTGCAATATTCTCCCATGAATGAAAAAAAAAAAAAAGTTACAAACAAACTCCACCGACAGCTACCACACTAGTGGCCGACACTCGGCGGCAGTTGCCAACCGCTGACCACTAGTGAGGGGTTGAGTTTTTTTTTTTTTAAAAAAAAAAGGGTATTTTTGGCATTTTACTAACTTTCAAAATTCCAATTTGGAAAGTATTTTCCTCTCTGTCATTACATTTTCTTAGCTTCACAAATTGACATTTTATATTTTCAAACTTCTTTATATGTCATTTTCCCTATGTACAAGGTGGCTGAAAAATTATATCCACATAAAGTATGAAATAAATTCCCTGTATATAATTCGGTGCCCAGAAAAAAAGAAATTACAAGTGTATAATTAATATAGTATAAACATTTTAACATATCCATTGCTTTAGCATACAAAACCTAGCTTTCTTTGATTCTTTATATATCCATGCTTTGACCCTGTAAATACTGTCATACGATCAACCAATACTTCATTCCACCCTTAATATAATATCTAAATAACTAATTTAAAAAAATTAAAAAAATAACTAAATTACTTAATTATAATATATATTACATTATTACATGTTTATTATACTTATATGTATTATTAAATTACATGTAAATTTATAAAAATGATAAGCAGAAAAAAATGGTAAATAAATATATATTTGCAATTTATTAACTATCTTAATCTACTGAATCTCATATTAACAACCGGAAATAATATATTTTAGCCAACTGTATTCTAATTACAAGATTAGCTGACAAAAATTATCTTTTAAAAAATTCCCTTTCTACCCGAGCACATCTAATCTAAAGCTGCTATTTTAAGCATAATTATCCTCATGATTACCCCACCTTTACAGTAAACCAAATGGGATTCAAAATAGATATAAGCTGTAGAGAACTTCAAACCAATGTTATCATGAGCAGTGATTATCGGAATAAATATGAACCAAAATTGAATATTCTCAATAACAAAATCAATATCCTATTATAATACAAAATTTTCTTTTGATGCTACGTTACTATATTTCTATCTCATACTTCCTCTATTAAAAAAAATGGAGAAATAGATATTTCAACAGTGAGGTCAGGTAGTGGAAGGTTGGTAAAGTTGAACCCAAGCATATTCTTCTTTGTAAGCCACATCTGAGTCACAAGATGCTTCACATGTGTACACCACAATTGATGCCCAATCTATAGAGTCCACTTCATTGTCCACACCTAAGTAATAGAGTAGCTGTGGCAGAATCTGGCACCAACGACATTTTTAAATCAGTAATTTCGGTAACAAGAATAACTAATAGTAGTCTTCCAGTCCTCAATCTATTTTGTTCTTTTTATATTTATCATTTTTCTCCGGACTAATTTACTTGATATATACTATAATATAAGTCCAGGATATTTTAAGGAAGATTAAATCACATTTGTTATAATCAACTAATTTATTTAACTCTTGATTTATTTCAGTCAGTCAAATAAGGACCTAAGGACTATATTCATTGAGTTTCTATCAACGAATCCTCAAAAACCTTACCTGAAACTCACAACACATTGAACCACCACAGTAATTGCATTTAGGGATATCAGCTTTAGACGGTCGACCGCTTGAAACAGGCCATATGGGTCTTGCATTAGTATTTCGATAATACCTGTTGTCGCCAGAATAAATAAGCTATTAAAAATGCAATAAAAAAGGGTATTACAATGAAAAGGGGCAAGACTCGCCAAATTTTTCTAAGATGGGTAAAACACATTCACATCTTTTATTGCCACTACATACGGTATTGGCAAGTGGAGACATTTTAAATTGGGTAATCCAAGTTTCTAACAGGGTCAGCCGAACATTCATGTGAATAATAGTCAGATAATGTATTGCAGCATAGTCACAACCATCACTCTGTTCACAATATAAGTATCATACAAGCTAAGATAGACCAGTCAGGTAAAAAATATCTCACTTTCAGGCTTGTCGGTCACACCAAGACACAGTATAACCTGCTTGCCAAACATTTCTGTGGTGCTGGAAGCACAATTATCCAACAGAATTTCAACCAGTCAAGCAATAATCACCTCAATATTTGTTCAGGGGCTGAACTAATACGCTCCTGGAAGCAGACCCAACTCTTTTTGTCATCATCACCCTGTTTACAGGCCAAAAAAAAAAAAAAAAACTTAGCAAACAACATAGCTGCATATAAACTATACCATCAATGACAGGTGAATTTGAGGCAATACCTGAAAGTTCTCCAATATGGAATTCATTGCGTCATCAATTCTGTTCTTTGATATCAAAGAACTAGTTAAAGCATTGCTCTCAGAAATGTCAGGGTTATTGTTATCACTTTCGTCTTCAATAATGATCTCAAATTCGGGCCACAGAGTGTTGCCAGCATCTGCATTGTAAAGAACGATTATGAGTTGAACTTGCAACAATGTAAATATCACAAGAATGCCTTTTGACAATAGCTCTCTATAATGAATGCTTGTACAACTTTTTTTCCTTTTTTCGATGAGCATTGTACAACTTGCTTTTCTTTAATAGTTTATAACAATTTTATACCTTACGGTGATCATCTTTATAATTAGTTTCTTCATACCATGAGTTTTCAAAGATGTCACCACAGTTTTCATTCTTAACAATCATTTATGCCCAGTAATAGTCTCACAAGCTTTAGACCACCAACCTTTCTTAGACTCCACTGAAATGGTTCCGCAATTGTTTGGTCCAGATGTAGCTGTTTGTGCAGAAATTTTCATCTGCGGGCAAGCAATTTTATGACCAGAGCGCCAATGGCTGACCTGAAAGGAGAATTTTTCAGTAATCAAATTTATAAACAGAGAACTAAAAGAAGAGCAAAATTACCTGGTGCTTCTCAGAGCAATACCGCACTTGTCTACAACCACTGCAGAGTTTATCTCCTTTCCATGTAACACACCAATCGCATAGAGCAGCTATAAGTTCAAAGTGCGAAAAATAATCAAAACATTGTCTTAAAAGCAAAAAGAAGCTGCTCAACATGTTGTGCGTTCATTTATTCCAACCACTTCTAGAGGCATTAGTAGGAGTTAATCCAATCATAAATATATAGATGAATGTTGCTAACACAGATTGTCATTATATATTTAGTTTAAAAATTGCAGGCAGAAGTTGCAGCACCAAAGACAGCAAAGTAATGAGCAACTCATTCAGGCTAATAATTTTGACTTCATTGAGGTTGAGATGTAACATTAAGCAGAAAGAAAAATGGCAATTAGCATGTGAATCATAAAGTCTTTTAAATTCCCGCTGGATTCTTTCAATGACTTGCCCCATCAGCATGCAGTTGGGGAAAATACCGTTTATAGTTCAACATAAACTAAGAAACCCAACAAGTACAGCCCCAAAGGAGCATTCAATCACCCTGCCATAACAAATTATCAATTCCACAGATAACACGGTAACTCTTCATAGTTATGAATTTATTCTCAATCCCCCCAAAACATTCATAAATGCAAAAAATCACTTTCTTCTGTTTTAAAAGGTAGCCAATTTTGCTTCCATGTGTGTAGAAAAAAGAAGTTAAAACTCACACGAATTCTCAAAATAAAATTTTTGTGAGAATGTTGAGGGTAGTCTAGCAAAAAGAAATAGATTTTTCCCTTAAGAGGAAGAGGGGGAAAAACGAAGCTGAGTAAAACTGACCTCCAATGCCAACGGGTTTGTCACTCCCATCATTTTTCGGATGTTCACTAGAGTAAAATGGATTATCACGAGGTAACTGGCAACGGAAAACCTTCACACTTCAGAGTGCATAGCATAATTAGAACTAATCAACAGAAAAACGAAGTGAAAAGGAGAATTTGTCCCTTATATAACAAAAATTGACCAAAGAACTCAAAGAAAAGAGATTAAGAATAGTTTAGCAGTACCTTCTAGATGGCTTATCTGGATGGCGTTTCCATTGCTCATGCTGATCCCGAAGAAGACATTTCATTGAAGAACACATGAAAACAAATAACATCCGGTGAAATGTACTTTCCTTTTCAGTTGGCGCATAAACCTTGTAGTTCAAAGATAAAATAAAACTATCATCCACTAGCAAAACTCAGACAAATAGACACATATTAAGGAAGATGTAAGAACAGTTTACAGATAATTCCAAGAGTAAGGATACATTTCATCACACTTGGAAATAAATATTGGCGACCAAATAAACAATACAGAGGAAAATTGCTCAAGAAAGGCATAAACTTATAAGAAAGACATAAGCTTCATAAAACTACAATTTCGAAAGGAATCCTACCTGAAGAAGAAATTGTAAAGGCTCTCCACATATGTCACACGTACATGACCTTCCTGGGGGTATATTCACTGGGTCAAGCCAGGCCTATTTATAAACAGATAAAACCGTCAAATCATGAATTAGTGTTTCACCAGCAAAAACTTTTATTTGCTTTTCAAAATATGCAAGGCTTGAATAGCTTCTTCTTATAGTTATACCCACAATATACATACAGTCGCATAAGAGAATTTGATTAAATTATGCAATTACCGGGGCACCTCCAGCTTTGCTGGGAAAATATTGCCGTTGAAGAGACCATTTATTTTTAGGTTTCTCAATGAAACCTAAAGTAATAGGGTCTTCCTCCTCCTCCTCATCGTTAGAGTCATAATCTTCATGCTCATTGTCAACAAGGACCTCTTCATCATCATCATCATCAAGGGATGAGATTCGGACACCCTTGAGCTTGTCTGTAGGATCTCCAATGGCATTGCAATCCATATTCATCCCAAACAGCAATTAACTGTCTAGTGTGCCACGTATTCCAGTTACTCGATTCTGCGCAAGACTAAGTAGAAACCTCAAACTAAATGGTTTGAACCACAACAAAAACGTATATATGCAGAAGTGATCCAGGAACTTTAAAAAGAAGAAGAAAAAAAAAACACACACACACACACACAAACAACTGAGCAGCAAATATATCATAACAACAGCAAAATTGACACAACAGCAATGAGGGAGGTTGGTTTAAATTCAATTCAGTCACTTCCTTCTGGAAAGAATACTTCTTTCTCTGACTTAATCATAGAATATAAGGACACTAGATAATCATCACATGAGATGAAGAAACAGAGGCGAGGATAGCGACAGGAATAAAAGATAATGGACACGCACAAAAAAATTGCACAAAACCTGGAATACAAGAGAGTGTAAGAGTGTGAGCCCTGTGACGACAGCGAGAGACAAGAGAAGGACTGGGCAGTGAGACAATGAATGTTGGAGGTGGAGAGCGGCAGGAGAGCACTCACTTAGGGTTGCTAAGCTTTCTCTCGAAATGATAAAAAGATGGATTTAATAATAACTAAGTTAAAAAAAATTGGTTTAGAAAATTAATTGACAAATAGTTCCTCGAATGATAGGTTATACAAAAAAAGATAAATTGCACATAAGGGATTTTTTTTTTTTTTTTTAAACCAGACACATAATAGAAGTTGAGTTGCATAGAGAAGACGATTTGCACAAAACATTATTCAGATACAAAAGACTAATTTGTACATATAGATGATAACTTGCATATAAAGGAAGATGAGTTGCTTATAAGGGAAATTTATTGGCATTTTTATCAAAATATTGGAAACAGTAAAAATAATTACCCAAATACTACACTATGAAAACTATTTCCCAATATACTGCATTTTTGAGAAATCATTTAGGCCATGATGAACTTTCCCTCTAATATCTATATTTTTAAAATAAAAAGAGCAGAAACTCGTTCACCTCTGATGAACTTTCAATCTGACAATTTTTTCATTTTCAGCAAAAGTTACAGCCAAATGCCCCATTTCATCAAATACTGTCACATCTCCCTCTGCCTTTTGAATTATAGCGAAAAGTACAGTTAATTACCCCATCATTCCCATTTTCATTAGCCGCCCAGCCCTTCACGTGAATGCCCTAACCATTTTAGGCTAGGCATGGGCAGGTTAGGCAAGACAGGCTTCCCTACCCATTGGTGTCACCCTAACTAAATCATATGTGAAAACATTTTCATTTATGCCTGAAAAATACATTTCATAATTTTACATTTCCGCACATTCAAATATTCTAAAATAAATCTTAACAAGTATCCATTCTTCAAGAATTAAATAACATCCATAATCAATTATTCAATTAAAAACAAGGAAACTCTCAAAATTGTAATTAAAGCTTTGAAATTCAAATGGGTTATAACTTTGCATCAATCTCCACAGTCCACAAGTTGACAAAAAGATGAAACATCTGAAAAAAATACAACAAAGAAAAAAAAAACCTTGAGATATTCCATCAACTGATGGGGATGGGAATGTAATAGAAGGTTGATCATCCATTCATCCATTTAAGCTGCTACAAACATTATACAATTCAAGGGACCATGTTTTAAGCTGCTGCAAACATTATATAATTCAAGGGACCATGTTTTAAAGATATATCAATACACAAAACTACTTTTGGTTGTTAACTTTAACAACTTGAAAAATAAGCCAACAAAAAAGAAGACAATTACATCAGTATTTGATACAAAAATACAGATACAGAGCACAATTCATAGCAAACCAGTTGATACAATTGATTCATAAAAAAATCTGCCAAAGACCAAAAAGAAATTGAAAAAGAAGACACAACAAATCAGCAGTTAGGGTTGATTTCATCTATTCATAAGCCAAAAAGGGTCAAAGCAGAATTTTATAGTTACTTTGTTTACGTCATTCATTGTTTGTCTTCCCCAACATATTCAATTTTGAAAATGACTTCTCCATCCGTCCCTTCTTTTTTGAAGCTAGATATCCTTAAAGAAAGACAGGCGGGCACGCACGCATGCATGCACAAAAAAACATGAACTCAAACTTCCTATATACTACTTCCGATCCTTAGATTTTATTTGACTTTTATTTTGGTTTTAAATATAAGACCCCAATTCACTTTGTCTCTCATATTTTTGTATTTTTTCCCAAAATAATCATTCTAACAATAATAGTTTTAACCCGTACACTTATTACTTGATTAATAAGGATATTTTAGAAAAAACAATACATATTTATTACAAATAAATAACTTAACTTCTTTTCTCAATCTCCTCAAATTAGTCAACTAGCTCTTAATACTCTTATAATTAAGGACTAGCTCTTATGATTAAGGACGGAGGTAGTAATATATAAAAGACATATCGATCAGTTAATGTCTTAATGAACCATCAGTTACAATGAAGGTAGTAGTTCCAGCAAACAACAATCTTAATGCAAACAATTAGACACCAAAGTTCCTAACTTTGACTCAAAGTAGAAAAATATAGCATCAGTTACAACGGAGGCCTATAGTATCAGCGGGAATTCACAAGCCTTATTCAACTTATTCGCAAGAAAAATTCCTGACTTTGACTCAAAACAAGAATTTTATGCTCACCCCAACGATTTCTATCCACTGTCTTCCAATTTTTACCTCAAGCTTCAAAACTAATTTATTACTGTCATCCATATAATTAACTATCAGCAACCAAACTTATTAAAAAACAGCAAAATAGAAAGAAAGACAAACCTGAGATGAAATCGACGAGAGACAGAGAGAGCACCCGAAACGAGTGGCGCGGTGAGACTTAAAGAATTAAGGAGGAGAGACGGACGAGATAGACGAGATTTAGTGCGCACTTGCGTTGACGCGTTCCCCACCTGAAACGAGATAGATGACGGACAAGGGACGGAGTGAGCAATCGAAAGCTCGAACCGAAATGAGAGATGGGGAGAGAGGAGCGAGTCGCTGCTACCGCAGGGGAGTGGAGACTGAGAGTCAGCGGCGAACGAAAGAACAAGAGGGTCAAACGGGCTAGGGCAAATGGGAAAAATATTAGTTAAAATATAATATATGGGGGGAAAACACAAAAATGAGCCTTAAGTTTTAAAATCCCAAAATGATTACTTGAATTTGTAAAATCCTAATTTAGACATGAGTGACTAATTTGAAATTTGTAAATTTTCTGAAATGACTATATTGTTCTTTATTTTTTTTTATTGTTTTTAAAAAACCAAATACACTCACTGACTAACTAGTCATTAGAACTCCAGTGCCGGTAACGATCACAGGAGCTCAGGTGGCCTCTATCATCGAAATTTTGATGGCCAGCAAACAATCAGTTGTAAGAGCTCGAATGGGTGCCCTGAGCTGTCAGTCATCTCAGTAAATTTACAAATCCCAAATTAATTACTTTTGCCTAAATTGGGATTTTACAAATTCAAATAACCATTTGGAGATTTTTATCATTTTTGTACCTTTTTTCCTATTGTATATATATTATATTTATATATTACAGGCAGGGTCAAATGACTAGCCCGTGATATGCCCAATCCAAAAATTCTTTGTTTTTTTAGACTGATTTTTTTATGGCAGGGCTAGGCAAATTTTTCTTTGAGCTCAAATGGGTGCCCTGAGCTGTCGGGCATCTTGGACAATCCTAGTTCTATCTATATATGTTTTTGTTGTGGTTCAAACCATTTAGTTTGAGGTTTCTACTTTCGCGCAGCATCAATTAACCGGAATACGCGGCGCACTAGGCAATTAATTGCTCCTTGGGACGAATATGGATTTCAATGCCATTTGGAGATCCTACAGACAAGCTCAAGGTCAAGGGTGTCCGAATCTCATCCCTTGATGATGACGATCACGACGATGATGAGGTCCTTGTCGACAATGAGCATGAAGATTATGACTCATATGAAGAGGAAGGGGACAGAAGATGTGACACAAGAGAAAATGATTGCATACCAAAAAAAATGAATTGTACATCAAAAAAGTTAAGTTGTATGTTGGGAAAGTTAAATTGCATAGAATCCTTAGATACTTTTACTAATTAAATTCTCAATGAGCAATTTATCCCAATTTTTTCTTATAAATATAAATTCAAAATTGAGTTACTTATATATTTATGCCATAAAAAATTAAGTTATAACTAATTTCGTGTAACACCATATCCTAGGGTTTTAAGTTTCTAAAATCCAACAAAACCCATAACCAAGTTCAATGAAAATTACATCAAAAACTATAAACATGCCTTATTTATAAAATCAATGAATTAACTCCATGTAAAAGTGTCATTTCTTTATTTTTTAAGTCAATTACATATAATTTCATGATATTTTAAAATTTAAATTTAAATTTCCCCCCTGATTTTATATTTTACTCTTTACTATCACTTTTGTCGAAAACCAACAATGTCATATCAGATTAACGAGAATGACATAACATCTTATATTAATTAAAAAGTTTAGGTTTGATATAAAGCCATTTGAATTTTAAGTTAATTATGTATAAGCCGATGAGATCTTAAAGTTTAAATTTAATCTGCTTAAATTTTTAACATTAAACCCGTTCCGTTGTTTTCCTCTCCCATGTCTATCAAGGTGAACTCATTGCTTTCAATTGATCTAATAATTCTTTCATTTTACTCAAATGTTAAAACAAGATCAAGGTGAGAAAATTAAGTATAGATAGTGGATTAGACTTTGAAAATTACCCAGTGTAACTTGTACAAGCTTGATCTTCCTCCTTCTTCCCAATTCCCTTTCTCTTTCTGTCTCTCTTCTTCGTGCTAGTTGGATGTTGAAAATGATGATAAGAATGAGGTGGAAGGAGTGTTTTATGAAGTAATTTTTTTTAACAATAAGTTAATATCACATTATAAAAAGTACAAATAATCAGATAAGAGAGATAAAGATAAGCATTCGGTTTTTCAGTTATAACCCAATTAACCGAATAATCGAATAGAGCGAATTTTAAATATTAAATCAAAACCGATTAATCAAACTAACCGACACCAAATTAACCAAAATATTTTGGATCAATTAACCAATTAACCGAAATATATAAATATGAAAAGTGATTTTAAATTAAAAATACTAATAAAACACAATTATAATCATTAATTAATAAATATTTCATCATTCAATGTGATTTATTATAATAATATTTATTCTAACTATATTTATTGAATATAAATATATTTAAAGAGTTCATCTATACCCACATATATATTTATTATAATAATATTTATTAAATATAAATATATAATATATTTATTTCGGTTATAACCGAATTTTTTTCTACTAACTGAACCAAACACCAAAACAAAATTGTTAAAAAAATAAGGGAAAATGACACAAAAAGAAGCTTTAAAATGTGAAATGCCAATTTAGGAAGCTGAAGAAATGTAATTATAGAGAGGGAAGTCCTTCCTAAATTGGAATTTTGAAATTTAGTGAAATGACAAACATACTCTTGTCTTTTTTCTATAAAAAAAAAAAAAAACCTCAGCCCCTCACCGATAGCCGGCGATCGGCTGTCACCGCCAGCAACTGGCCTCTGGCAGCCAGCGACCGTCTCTGGCCACCAGCGGTGGCCATTGGTGTGGTGGCTTCCAGTGAAGTTTTTTTATGACATTATTTTTTTTTTAGAATGGGATAATATTGGTTCTAAATGACAGGGGTGAGATTAGATCCCACAACCCCTTGGCCATTTGGGCCAACAAAAGAGAAGATGGCCATTAGGCCATCAAAGATTTCTTAATCTTATAATGCAAATAAAAATATAAGTTGACTCTTTTATTATGACTCCAGCCCGTGCCAACAATTTACCTGAATATGACAAGTCTTAATTGAGAAATAACAAGTCTAAATTTGATATTAACAAAACAACTTTTCCTTATATATAACAAGTAGCAGCATGTACATTAATTAAAAATGACCATAATTTATTTAAAAATGACACGTCTTTACTGGAAAATGACAAGTTTAAACTTAATATTAACAAAGCAACTTTTCCTGATACATCACAAGAAATAGCATGTACGTTAATTAAAAATGACCATAATTTATTTGAAAATGACGCTTCTTTACTGGAAAATGACAATAATTTATTTGGGATTCCTGATACATAACAAGAAATAACATGTATATTCCCAAATAAATAATTGTCATTTTCCGGTAAAAACTTGTCATTTTCCAATAAAAACTTGTTATTTTCAAATAAATTATGGTCATTTTTAATTAATATACATACTATTTCTTGTTATGTATAAGGAAAAGTTGCTTTGTTAATATCAAGTTTAGACTTGTCATTTTCCAGTAAAGACGTGTCATTTTTAAATAAATTATGGTCATTTTTAATTAATGTACATGCTGCTACTTGTTATGTATAAGGAAAAGTTGCTTTGTTAATATCAAATTTAGACTTGTTATTTCTCAATTAAGATTTGTCATCCTTAGGTAAATTGTTGTTATGGGTTGGAGTCACAGTAAAAGAGTCAACTTATATTTTTGTTTGCATTATAAGATTAAGAAATTTTTTATGGCTCAATGGCCATCTTTCCTTTTATTGGTCCAGCGCCAAAGGCCAGTCGCTCGCCACCAGTTAGGGGCTGAGGTTTTTTTATTTTAAAAGACAAGGGTATTTTTGTCATTTTACTAAATTTCAAAATTCTAATTTGGGAAGGACTTCCCTCTCTGTAATTACATTTCCTTAGCTTCCCAAATTGACATTTCACATTTTCAAGCTTCTTTATGTGTCATTTTCCCAAAAAAATAAAAACTGAATATATAACCAAAAATTGAAATAATTGAACCCAAAAACTAAAATTGAATTCAGTTCGGTTCAGTTTTCGGTTATAATTCGGTTTTGCTCACCCCTAAAGAGAATATAAGAGGGAGGGAAATGCATTATGTAATCGAGAGAATTATAATGAGGTGCTAAGAAAAAATATAAAGAATATAACTACTAAAAAGTCTCATTAACAAGTTAGAAGTTATTACTCCCAATTTTGAAACTTGTCATTACAATCTGCTAAATTGTTAATGAGATTTTTTAATAATTATGTTCTTTTCTTGAGATTTTATTGTAATTCTTATTAATTAATTTCTGAAAATCTTCTCATCAAAAAAGATATATCTTGTGGAATCAAATTACTTTAAAGAGCAGTAATTCTGTTTGAGTTATTATTGGACATTAATAAAATTAAGTTAATTTAGAGACAAGTTCCGCCTCCTGGAAACCTCACCTTTTTCTCTTCAATTTTGGGCCAAATGCATCCAATGGTTACCTCCCTCACTTGCGGGTGGTCAGCGTCTCAGCGACGCCCTTACTCCATTTCTTCGGGCTTGGGCTTGATTTTTACGGATTGCGGGTCATGGAATTTTGACCATTTCTTATCATAATTGGAATTAAATCTCATAATTAATTTTGCTGGGAAAATTGGCCATAAATTCTGAATTGAAAATTTACTCATAGAATGGAATCTAACAACATCGAAAATGGGTGAGATCCTTCAGTGTTAATAAGGGTGATGGGACAAAGACCAAATTATTTTTATAAAACGTAATTATATATTCAGGAAGACTCCTTACACATTGTGAAAGCTAATTCAATCTCTAAAAAAATAATTACATATTGGTTCATAATGCATCTTCAGAAAGGTAATTATATTCAAGGAGACCACTTACACATTATGAATGCTTATTGCATCTCAAGAAAGGTAATTGCATATTTATTCATATTATATATTAGGGAATGTAATTGTATATTCGGGGAATCAACTTACACATTATGAAAGCCAACTTACACATACTGCAAGAGGTCAAGTTGTACATTATGCAAACTGATTTTATCTTGGGGTAATTGCATCTCCTGAGAATAAATAGAATTTACTACTTTGCAGATAGCAAAAAATTTACTACTCTCTTTTATTTTTATTATAAGTTTCAAATAACTAATTTGTGAATGACAAAAAATTAGTGAAAATTAATTAAAA